CCAGGCGATTCATCCTCTGCTTCTACACAGTCCCCACAGCTCTCCAGTGCACAGCAAGGCAGCCTCTGCCCAGAGCCACACAAAACAGGTTCTCTTTGGGACCCTGGCCTGAGTAGGCATAGTTGGAGGGTGGCACAGAGCTTCTAAAGCCCACATCCTCAGTCTGCCTAGAATCTGTGAGGGTGATGTCATTGCCCAGGAGAGCTTCCCTTCACTTCGCAACTTAAGAATCATAAAGGAACATTGCTGGCCCAGAAGGGTTCCTGTGTGATGTGTTCTCCCTGCCTGAGAGGAGGGGCACAGGTTGGGGGGCAGAGGCCTCTCCACCTCCCAGAACTGCTTCCCTTCCTAAAGTGTTTGGGGTGGGAGCTGCTGACCCAGTACTTCCTCACCCTTCCCTGGGGGCCTGGCCTGCAGGATGAGGAGGGCAGGGTGAGGGGACAGACATGGGCCAGTCCCATCCTGTTCACTTTTCTTACTGCACTTTGTATTACTTTAATTTGAGGGGAAGATGCAGGAATTGGTTTTGAAGTTATAATTAAAATTTCCACTGGCCTTAGGCAAACAATTGTGGGTTGAATGAAAAGGTGTTAATAAGGGGAGAAGTTAATTTTAAAAGAAAATGTTGAGTGAGTGTGTGGGCATACACCTGCGGACACAGAGCTAGTTAAAGAGCTAGGAGGCGGATGGGGCTCCAGACTCGGCGAGGCTGAGCCTGGCTTCAGATCTTAGCAGAGCCCTTTGTAACCAAGACAACTTCAGCAGCCACAGCAGCCACCTGCCTCCTTTGAACCTCATCTCTCTCAGGCGTTAGATGAAACAGGAATGGGCATCTGTGCCCTGTACACCTCATGGCACTCTGACAGGGCTTCGAGAGATGGATAGAGCACTTGGTGAAAGGTGAAGGGCAGGCAGAGGTGTGCTCTGCTCAAAAGTCTGGAAGGGGAGTGGTCTGTCTGGTCTTAGGGTGTGAGGGATATTTGGGGCCTTTATTCCATCCTGTGACTGAGATAGTTCCCTTGAGGCCACTTTTCCCATCCTGTCAGGAGCTCGTGTGACTTGAAGGAGTGTCTCAATGCTGCTGTGTGGTACTGGGTGAGCACCTGTGTGCTATGGGTCTGTTTCAGTGAGTCAGGACACCCGGACTCCCAGGCCTATTTAGAAAGGGTGAAAGGAGGTGAAGTTCTGGGACTGAGGTGAAGGTCAGATGCAGCTCATGCCTGTAAGTGGACAGACTGATGGTGCCATTCCTGGCAGTTTGCCACATGCTCACCTTGCCTGCCTGTCAGGTGGAATTTGCAGGTCTTCATAGTGGGGAATGGCATAGAGTACTCACGCTGCTCCCCTGAGGGATGGTCCACCTCCTCACTTACCCCCTTAGGTGTCCTTGTGCTAAGCAGCATCTTCTGTGGGGGGTGGCAGTGTTCACGTGGAATGTTGCATTAGGAGGGGCACCGGGCATCATCACTAGCTTTCTAGTCCCTAGAGAGTGACTCACCTCCTTGTCACACCCAAATCTGAAAACCAGTGAGATGTGAAGGTAGCAGTGATAAAGGAAACCGAGGGTATGGCAGCCAGAAGTAGCCAGGGCTCTGCCCATCCTACCAATAGAGAACTCTGACAAGTTACTCTTTGAACTCTCATTTTCCAATCAGTAAAATGGGAATAAAGACAGCTGTCCTGGTGAGTTGTCCCCACACAAAAGCAGGACAACACGAACTCTCACTGGGCTCTGGTATTCTGTGACTGCTCTGTGCATGGGTTTGCACTGTTTGGGGTGAGTCTCGTGCATGCTGATGAGTTAGGAGCCATGTGTGATGGATTAGTAATGCTTGGGTAGGAAGGACCCTAGGATGACTTTAATTGTTCATCCCTTGGTCTCTACCAACTGGGTTGCCTGGTGCTGATTTCGTTGGGCCATCTGTGTGTTCATCTGAGTTTTGGCACAAGTAGGAACCAAGTTTTTTGTTTGTTTGTTTTGTTTTTTTTTTTGAGACAGGGTTTCTCTTTGGCTTTGAAGGCTGTTCTAGAACTAGCTCTTGTAGACCAGGCTGGTCTCGAACTCATCTGCCTCTGCCTCTGGAGTGCTGGGATTAAAGGCATGTGCCACCACCGCCTGGTTGGAACCAAGTTTTTAATCACCTTTTTTTCATAACCCCAAGGCCTCCTCAGGGCATAGGCTCAGCCTGTCTCCAAGTGGTTTCCTCTGTGTCTTGGAACCTTTTCTTGTGGACATTTTTTGACACTTTCACGGCTATGTTTCTGACCCCCTGGCAGCCCTGGGATTATGAGAGAAACATTTTTAGTAGAGTTCTCAGCCAGCCCTAGAGCATACCATAGGATAGGTAGAAGAAGATCCATGGGGAGTGCCTACCTCCTCAAAAGCTAGGAAGTGGTTTCCTGAGGCTACTCGTTAAGGTAAATAAGCTAAGCCTGAACTCTTGTGTGAGATGATGTCAGCAAGGGATACAGACAAATCTTGTTGCACATCAACAGCATATAAGGTGGTGTCCCAGCATTGGACTGATCATCTCAGGTCCAGAAGTGAGAGGTCCTGGCTGGTGTTGTGTGACAGACATCTCCTGTCTATACTCTAGATAGTATGCCCAGGACAGACCAAAGTACGGATATAGAAACCAACAAACTCCATCTAGTGAACCAATGAGTTTTATTGGGGTTACTTGGGGGGAATATCTCTAAAGGCCACTTCACAAAAGCTGGGAATTTGGAGCATACTGCACAGCCTATAGGCAGCTCAGTAGGTTGCAGAGTGCCCTTTCCAGGTGCCTTAGTTGGCCTAAGCTGCTTCCAGGAAGCTCCATGGTCTCTATTTCTTTGAGGCTGCTTGACTGGTCTCTACTTGTTTGATCTTGGCTTGTCTGAGGGTGATGCTCTCTTAGGAGGGAGGGGCCTGGAGAATCTGGCCAGTTTCAGGGAGTTCCTGAAACTGTTTTGAGTTGTTTACTTTCTGGCTTAAAGAGGTTACCTGGGAGATGGAGTGTTTCAATTTTGAGGAAACTGCTATACAACCGCTGGCAACGTGGCTTCTGGCAGAAAGTAAATGACAGCAATTTTTATTATTATTTTCTTTCTAGTGAGACAGGATATCACTGCATAGTCCTGTCTGGCCTAGACCTCACTATGTAAATTGTGCTAACTTGAAATTTGTGGCAATCCTTTTGCCTTTTCTCCCTGAGTGTTGGGAGTGCCTGCTGAGTGCCACGGGCAAGCAAGAAATATTCAGTGGACACAAAGGTCCTATAAGAGGCTACGTTGCTAGCCGGGTGTTGGTGGTGCACACCTTTAGTCCCAGCACTCGGGAGGCAGAGGCAGGCGGATCTCTGTGAGTTTGAGGCCAGCCTGGTCTCAGTGCCAGAATACAATAGGCTCCAAAGCTACACAGAGAAACCCTATCTCGAAAAACCAAACCAAAAAAAAAAAAAAAGAAAAAAGAAAGAGAGTATGTTGCCGTTCTTTTGTTTTGAGACACGGCCTCACTGTAAGTGTTGTGGCTCTAAGGGGAAAAGTTTCCCCAGTGGAATTGTTGCAGCTCTGGGGGAAGATCTCCCCAGTGGAAGTATTGCAGCTCTGAAGAGAAAGGTATCCTGGCAGACAGGAGCCAAGGATGCCACAAGGTCACACTGCACAAAAACCTCACACAAGAGATTTAGTGAGAAAGACACAAGAGGGTGGCTGCCTCTGCTCAGGGGAAAGCAGAGAAGTAAGTGGGAGGCAGGCAGGCAGGCTTAATGTAGTATTTCTTGGGGGTGGAGTTTTCCAGGGTTGGGATTGGTGGGATTTAAAGGTCAGGTATTGGTGGGTTTTCAAACCCAGAAGTGAGCTCAGACTTTTTACCCTACACTCACTGTGGCTGTCCTGGAACTCATTATGTAGACCAGGCTGGCCGCAAACTCACAGAGATCATCAGTTTTTCCTTCTTCCTCTCTAGTGCTGGGATTGAAAGTGTGCACTACCAGGGCTGGCCCATGACCACTCACTCTTGATTAACAGAAGAGGGCGCTGAGGTTCTACAGCTGTGCAGGGTCTTGGAGGGTGCACCCAGCTGTGCAGATGTCCCTGCACCATCTTGCCTCAGGTTCCTCCTGTAAGGTCAGGGTTGTCCCTGACAGCTGACCAAGGTGGGCCCACCCACAGTGCAGATCACCAAGAAGCCTTCACAAAGGCATGTGGCTTCCTATGCAAGACTGTGATGAGGACTCCAACATAGCCACTGGTCCTCAAAAAGTAGTTGCCCTGGCTGTGGCCCTTTTCTAATGGGTGGCTCTGCCTGGAAGGCAGGCCCCTTACTGAGCTCTTATGAGTCAGTTTCCATGAGAGGCCCTGGAGGCTAACCAGACATCCTCATATCTAGAGTCTACTTGGCCATCCTGAACTGCAGCCCCTGCGAGTGTCATTATAGACTGATGAGTACTAAGTTCCAAGGAGCCAACATCACTCATTCTGTCCTTCTGTCTTTGCCAGGGCAGCAACATCTCTAGCTCTACCTTTGCTGATGGCGAGCTCCTCCCCAGGGAACCCGGCTTCTTCCAGGAAGACGAGGAGGAAACAATGACACTGGCCCTGCCTGAGGGACCCCAGGAGTTAGAAATGGACAGCCCCATGGAGAGCAGCCAGGGCCTGGAGGGCTCTGTCAGGAGTCCTGGCGAGGAGAAGGAGCCTGAACTGGGGGGCCTGTACCTGCCAGAGGACAAGTGAGTGAGCAAAAGGGCATGTGGCCCCAGGGCCAGAAAGTACATGTGACACCTTGTGGGGATCTGTAACCCCAGCCCTCCGACACCAAGACAGGAGCGTGGAGCAGGCAGGTGGCCTGGAGGATGCAGTGGAATCAACAAAGCAGAAACTCTGCTGTCCCCTCCACACACGGGCTGTTGCACTGGTATGCCTGTGTGCACACACACTGATAGTGATAATAATAGTAATAGTAATTTTTTAAAATTAAGAGTTAATTAAAAGTTGGAAAAAAGTGAGAATGGGAGAAAAATAACAAGCATCCTTAACCTAAGCCCTATTATCATGTTACTATTTTTATTTCCTCCCCCCCCCTCTCTCTCTCTTTTTCCCCTCTAGACAGGGTTTCTCTGTGTAGCCCTGGTTGTCTTAGAACTCACTCTGTAGACCAGGCTGGCCTCAAGCTCACAGAGATCTACCTGCTTCTGCCTCCCAAGTACTGGGATTAAAAGCATGCGACACCACCGCTTGTCCCTTTTTTTTTTTTTTTTTTTTTTTTTTTTTTTTTTTTTAAAGAC